TGGAGCAAGGTAGACTCTCCACTGAGTAGTATCCAATCTGTCTAAGCGGGTCAGATGAAAGGAGATATAGATAGGTCTCTTGTGATACAATAATGAGTAATTGTTATCAGGAGTGATCATAAGGGTTGGAAATGTAAAGGTAGACGTTTTGTGGCAAAAGGAGGGGAGTGATTAACTTTCTAGTTTAGGAGCGGAGGTTCCTGGGACCATCAAGGGAGAAGAGCGGAGAATGGAACCCTACCCAGAGAAGCAGTGACACCAAAGATGGAGGCAGAGACGATGATGTGGAGAAATGGAGCGGCTGGGGACTTTGGACCTGGAGAGGGAGAGGGGCTGTGTACTGAAGACTGGGGGGCAGGCTTGCGGGGTATACCCTTTGGTTGGTGGATGATGCATGGAGGGGATTGTAACCATGGCAAGGAAACGATATACGATGGGATCAATGTGAAGCTAATGTTCTCCATGTAAACTATCACATAATTCACAATAAAGCATTAAAAAATATATGTTTAAAGAAAGCATGGAATCCTGGTGTGGCACTGTAGGTTAAACATTGGACTGCTAACTGAAAGGTCATTAGTTCAAATCCACCAGCTACTCCTTGGAAACCCTATACAGGGTTGCTATGATCAGGATTGACTTGACTTAACAACAATAAAAAAAAGTAAATAACTCACAGAAAATAAACTAATGGGGATCGGGAAACAGAATGAGAAATTCCATAAGGAAACTGAAAGCTAAAATTTAAAAAAGAGAGAAATACAGGAAGTGATTAATAAAATAATTAAATTAAAAAATGCAAGAGAAACATTCAACATTAGATTCAAGCAGACAGAGACAGAATAAGGGAACTAGCAGACAGTCACTGAATTTAAGTTTCAAGAGAAAGTAGAGACCAAAAGAAAAGCAAGCAAAGTCAAATGGAAATATGGGATTCAATTAAGAAACCTAACATTAGAATTTTTGGAATTCCAGAGTTTCATGATATTAATAAAGGGATAGAAAGAGTTTTCCAAGAGATAACAGAGAATTTCTCAGGCCTGAATAAGGAACCAAGCTTACAAAAATAGGAAGCTATACATAAAAAGAAGAAACACAAAGAGGTCCACCTTCATGAAACAGTGTAGTAAAATTCTTGAAAACCACAGACAAGGGAAGAATTCTGAAAGCAGCAAGAGTAAAAGCACAGTATGACATACTAAGGGTCCATCATAAGAATTAATACAGATTCTCCCCAGAGACCCTGGAGGCCAGAAGACAATGGAGCAACATATATAACTATACAAACTGAAGGAAAACAATTGCCAAACAAGAATTCTTTACACAGGAAAGCTGTCATTCAAAAACAAGAGTCCCAAAATAAACAGAAACTCTGGAAATTTGTTACTATCAGACCAGCTCTGAAAATATTACTTAAGAGAGTTCACCATATGAAAAGAAAACATGAAGGACCAACTGTATTTCCAGATAATAAACTCAAAATTAAGTTCCATAAATAATATAACATTAAGTGCATATGATATTAAACCAGTCAGATATAGGCTGTACAATGACATCAATGGAGACTAACCAAAAGAAAAGGGGGTAGGGAGGAGCAAAACAGGAATACTTTTAGTATGTTAATGTTGTCACTTGCTTGTATGTTAAAAATTGTATAATGTAATATTTGCTGTAATCACCAAGAAAACACCTCGAAAAAATATGGAGGAAGAAATAAATAAAACTCCTCACAAAAAAGCATCTAAACACAAGAATAACATTAAAATGAAAATTAAAAGGCAACGAAGATACGTTATTGCTGTTGCTAAGTGCTATCAAGTTGGTTTCAACTCATAGCGACACTATACAGGGTTTCCAAGGAGCAGCTGGTAGGTTGAACTACTGACTTTGTAGTTCAGAGTCCAGTACTGATCCTATAAAGCCACACCATCAATTAGCAGAATGAATGAAGTAGACTCTCCATGCAAAAGACAGAGAGTGACAGAATGGATTCAAAACAATAATCCACCTTTTTGCTGCACACAAGATATGTGTCTTAGATATAAGGACACAAACAGACTCAAAATAAAAGAATGGAAAAAAAAGATTCCATGCAACCTGAAAATAAAAAACGAGCAGGGGTGGCCATAGTGGTATCAGATGAAATAGACTGTAAATCAAAATCTATTACAAGAGATAAAGAAAGACATTATATAGTAATGATAACTGCAAGGTTGGCAGTTAAACCCACCAGCTGTTCTATGGAAACTATGCAGTGTCGCTAAGGGTCAGAACAGCCTGATTGCACTTAACAATACCCATCACCAAAACAATACATATTTTTCTCCAGTGCATATGGATCATTTTCTAGAATGAACCTATATTTGTGTTTTCCTTCTCTGATGGGTCTCTGCCTTACATAGGTTCCAGCTTTCACAGGTTTTGCTATATTTCAATAATAATAATAATGAAACAACTGAGGAAAAATGAACAGGATAACATTTACAATGGAAACAATTGTAAAGCAATGCAAGCATGTCATTATAATATGAAGGTAAAGCCACCAATCAGGTGTAACTATAATAAGGACTAAGCAGGTTCCACGGTTTTTTCATTAAACCTTATGTTGTTGTTGTTAAGTGCCATCAAGTTGGTTCCAACTCACAGAGACCCTGTACATGGTTTACAAGGAGCAGCTAGTAAGGAATCCTGGTGCGGCGCTGTAGGGTAAAATTAAACCTTAGAGAACAATTTTTTAATCTTTTAATCTGTATACTTGTATTACTTTAATAACATTTAAAGTACTTAAAATGTTGTTGTTAAGTGCCGTCAAGTCAGTTCTGACCCATAGCGACCCTGATAGGGTTTCCAAGGAGCAGCTGGTAAGCTTGAACCGCCGACCTTGCAGTTCAACCAACTTGGCAGTCTCGCGCATTAACCCATAGCGCCATACCAGGACTCCAAAGTACTTAAAATGCAACATGCCTATTCAAATCATAACAATTTATTAAGCACCTATTAATGTGTCTATTAAGGTTATAATTGTATAACCTCGAGCAGTTACTGTAGCTCATGACTCAGTTTCTTTGCAAATAATATATACATAACAATATTTACCTCGCAAAATTGTTTTGAGTATTAAGTGAGAGAATACATATAAAGCACATAATATGATACTGGCACTTTTGAACAAGCACTCAAATATTCGTTATTTTTATTATTGATACAAGGACCAAGTCCTACCATCAAGATGCTTACACATATAAACAAGTACAGACTGCAGTGGGAGTTCAAAGGTGGTGGTAGTAGTGATGTGCTGTGGAGTCGCTTCCATCTCAGTGACCCTGTATAGGGTTTCTGAGGCTGTAAATTTTAACAGGGAATAGAAAGCCTCATCATTCTCCCATGGAGGAGCTGGTGAATTCAAACTGCTAAGCTTGTGGTTGGCAGGCCAATGCATAACCCACTCGCTACCAGAGTTCCTGGGGTTTAAAGAACAGAATGTTCAATAGATCTGAAAGTTAAAGAAAGGAGTCATAAAGGACAGAATTGCTGAACTTAGTCTCAGAAGGTTAAGTAGGAGTTTTTCCAAAAGTTTTGTATCTCCCTGTGCCAAAGGGATCTGTGTGTTCAAGGGAACAGAAGCTTCAAACCAGGGCTCCCAACAAGCTCCTATCAGTTCCACCCCACTGCTGAGAATTTGTATTTCCACTCCAGATTTACTGAATCCGAATATACATTTCAGCAAGATCCCCAGGTCATTATTATACATAAGAATCTCAGCAGGGGGTAGGAATGGAATGAAATGGTTCAAAGCCAGGTATACCTAACAGTAAGTTCAATATGCTTAGAACAGTGACTCTCAAAGTGAGCTCCTCAGAGGAGCAGAATCAACATCACCTTGGAATTTGTTAAAAATGCAAATTATCAGGTGCACCCTATATGTACTGAATCAGAAATGCTGGGGTTGGGCTTAGCAGTTTGTGTTATAATAAAACCCTCTGGGGTCCCTGGGACCATCAAGGGAGAAGAGCGGAGAGCGGGACCCTACCCAGAAAAACAGTGATGCCAGAGATGGAGGCAGAGACGATGACGTGGAGAGATGGAGCAGCTGGGGACTCTAGACCCAGAGAGGGATAGGGGCTGTGTGCTGACAACCGGGAGGCAGGCTTGCAGGGTACACCCTTTTGTTGGTTAATGATGCATAGTGTGGATTGTAACCATGGCAATGAAATGATATATGATAGGACGAATGTAAAGCTAATGTTCTCTCATGTAAACTATCACATAATTCACAATAAAACATTTTTTAAAAAATGCTTCCCTAGATCACATCCACAAAAAACAAACTCATTTCTGACCACTTCCTGCCACTCACTTACTGTTGTAGTCATACCAAACCAATTTCTGGAACAGTTTTTGCTGTGTGACATCTGCATGTCTTTGCACACTTTCCAGGAATGTCCTTCTCTCCCATCTTTGTCAATAAATTCTATTAATTCTTTACAATTTCTCTCAAGCATCACCACTTCTCCTTGATCCTGAATCTGATTTTCATTTCTTATTTTGTTGTCTAAGCCCCTTAGACAGTAAGGCCTATGAAGATAATGACTTACTTGAGTTTATATCCCTAAAACCAAGTTCAGTACCAAGCACATAATACACTGGCCAATCTTAAGTCTTTATGGTACTCACCATCTTGGTCTGAAGGTCAAGTAGTTTTCTCACACGAAATGGTTTGACTAGAAAAGGTAAAGGAAAAGGATACTACTATGCATTTGGCTCAAAATAAAAATAAACTGGTTACACCATGCAGTTCATTTAGCGGCTTCTTAAAACAAATCAAGAATATAAATACCCTGTTCAGTTAATCCATTAAGCAGATGATCTTAGAAGTACTAGAAAGCAATTTCCACAAAACAAGTACAGATATATAAGTGGTGGTGGCTGTGTGCTGTGGAGTCGGTTCCGACTCAAAGCATCCCTGTACAGGGTTTCTAAGGCTGTAAATCTTTACGGGAGCAGAAAGTCTCATCTTTCTCCTGCGAAACAGCTGGTAGTTTTGAACTGCTAACCTTGCGGTTCGCAGCCCGATTCGTAACCACTATGCTACCTTAGTAGGCTAATACAAATGCTAATTCCACAGAATACATGTAACACAACTGAAATGAAAACACTCACCATTCTCTTTTTTGGTTAGCAAATATAACAAATGGCAGGCGTAAGGGCACTGTTAAAATAAAAATATATATATATATATCAACAAGAAATGACAATATATCTTGAACAAATAGCAACACATTTTTTTTCAAATGTCAATCTTATACTGATTAAATAAAAAGGTTTTAGACTTCACTAAAACAACTTTGGAAAGTTCTTTTCTATATTACATGATGATAATTAAAAAAACAATAGTCTTAACTGGCATTCCATTATTCCTTTTTTAGATTATTTGTAGAATTTAAAAGCAACATAGAAATTTTGAAAAGAGAAAAATAATTGTCCATAATCCTACCTAATATTTATTCATCTATTCCTTCCAGTACTACTCCTGGTGTGGCACTAAGGATAAGACCTGGATTGCAAGATCGGTGGTTCAAACCTACCAGCCACTCCTTGGAAGCCCTATACAGGTTTACTGTGAGTCAGAACCAACTTGATGGCACATAAAAATACATTATTGATGGGCAACTGATATTGGCTACCTAAAATGGGGGGCTATAAAGGCACAAAGTGAGTGATTTACAAGTTTTCAAGAGGGAGCTTAGTTTCAGAGGGTGTGGAGGAAGGTAGAATCTCCAATAAGTGGTTTTCAATCTGTCTAGATGGGGCTGGTGAAAGGAGATGGGGATAAGACTTGTGGTTCAACAGTGAGTAAATGTTATCATGACTGATAGCAATTTTTGCAACTGTAAAGGTAGATGTTTTGTAGCAAAAAGAGGGGAGTGGTTGATCTTGCAGTCCAGGAGTGGAGTATCCTGGGACCATAAAGGGAGAAGAATGGGAGCAGAGTGTGGGACCCTATTCAGAGAAGTAGCGATGCCAGAGATGGAGGCAGAGATGATGATGTGGAGAGATGAAGTGGCTGGGGACTCTAGACTCATGGAGGACTCATGCTGGGGACTCGTGCTGTGCTGGCGGCCAGGAGGCAACCCTTTGGGTGTTTGAATGATTACATATTCCTGAGTGTTTTGGTGTACATCAAAAACAAAAAAAGCACAGAGGGAATAGAAGCAATTACTATTGAATGATGATGCATGGAGAGGATTGTAATCATTGCAATGAAACGAAATACGATAGGATGAATGTAAAGTTGATATTCTCCCATGTAAACTATCACTCAATCCACAATAAAAACTTAAAAACAAAACACAACATTGTTGTTGGTAAGTGCCATCAAGTCGGTTCCAACCCATAGCGACCCTGTATAGAGTTTCCCAGGAGCAGCTAGTGGGTTTGAACCGCCGACTTTGTGGTTTAACCTGACCTACAGTCGTCCAGAGTTCATCAGTCTCTCCTTGGAAACTCTATAAAGGGTTACTATAGGTCAGAACTGACTTGATGGCATTTAATAACAAAAAAACAACAGTGGTCCAAAGCATTACCCTGCAGTACCACACCAGGACTCCTAACAACACATTTAGTTGGTTGGTTATGTGCCATGGAGTCAATTCTGACTCATAGCGACCCAGTATAGGGTTTCCGAGGCTGTAAATCTTTACAGGAGCAGAAACCCTCACCTTTGTCCCGCACAACAGTTGGTAGTTTTGAACTGCTGACCTTGAGGCTAGCAGTCCAACTTGCATCCACTATGCTACCAGAGCAACACATTAGTCCTTATTTATTAAAATACAAAAAACTTAAAATTTATATGCTGCTTTTCTACTTACAAGCATTTTCCCATGTTGTTTAGTCTTCAAAATTATATATGATATAACATATTTTAATTAAGCATTTAGTCCCCCGTTTGGCAAATAGCACAAACTCAATTAATTTGCCAAATTACTGACTGACATAATACTGTTAAAGTACTCTTTCTGTTGTTGTTAAGTGCCATTGAGTTACTTCAGACTCATAGTGACCCTGTATGATAGGGTTTCCAAGGAGCAGCTAGTAGGTTTGAACTGCCAACCTTGCAGTTAGCAGTCCAGTGCTTATCCTGTAGTACCACAGCAGGACTACTCTAGACCATTTTTATTAGTGCTTAAATTCTGAGCACTTAGTTTGAGGAAAGCTATTTATAGTTTGGTGGCTCTGTAGGATAAGCACTGCACTGCAAACCATAAAAGTTAGCAGTTCGAGCCCACAATGCTGCTTTTATTCTACCCAAAAAAATTTCATGATGTCCCCACTGAATAAAAGATAAAGTTCAAATTCCTTAGCATAACATTCAAAGGTCTCTGTAATCCAACATTTTCAGCCATATCACCCACCTACTCCAATCAAGTCAGGCTGGTCTATTTAAGATCTCCTAAAACAATGGGCTCAAACATAACAACTGTAAGGAGGGAACAAGACCCAGCAGTGTTTTGCTCTGTTGTGCACAGGATCACTATGAGCTGGAAACAACTCATTGGTACCTAACAACAACAAAACACAATTTATATATTTCTTTCTTGCACTTTTACTTAAAACACTGCCATCATACCAAACACTTTCGCTTCTCATCAAATCCCAAATCCTCTTCAATCTTCAAGACCCAATCCAATGCCCATATACTTTGATGCTTTCTCTAAGGAATCTGGCACACAGTGCTCTCTTCCGTTCTGTTCCCAAAAATATCACAGCATTGTTATACTTCTACTATCATATACTGTCTTCGAATAATTTAACTCTTGAATTGCTGTTTCATTTTATATGCTTTCTTTAACACTCCCAACTACAGTAGTGAAACAGTGTTAAACTTTGAGTCCTCTACAGTGGTTAGCACAAAACAACTATAGAAACATCTCCTTTTAAAAATGAAATCAATTAATAAACTCCCTTCCCAAAAGAAAGAATTCTGTTGAGTTGTTCACATGGTCTGTGGATTACTGGTGGTGGTTGTGGTTATGTGCCGTGGAGTCGGTTCCGACTCATAGCGACCCCATATAGGGTTTCTGAGGCTGTAAATCTTTACGGGAAAATGTAAACGTAGACGTTTTGTAGCAAGGAGGGGAGTGATTAACTTTTCAGTCTAGGAGCGGAGGTCCCTGGGACCATCAAGGGAGAAGAGCGGAGAGCGGGACCCTACCCAGAGAAACTGTGATGCCTGAGATGGAGGCAGAGACGATGACATGGAGAGATGGAGCAGTTGGGGACTTCAGACACAGAGAGGGAGAGAGGCTGTGTGCTGACAACTGGGGAGCAGGCTTGTAGTGTATACCCTTTGGTTGGTTGATGATGCATTGAGGGGATTGTAACCATGGCAATGAAACAATATATGATAGGGTGAATGTAAAACTAATGTTCTCCCATGTAAACTATCACATAATTCACAATAAAAACTTAAAAAAAAAAAAAAAGAAAAGTTGGAGTGTGGAGGTATGTCTGACCTCTGCCAAAAAAAAAAAAAAAAAAAAAAAAAATCTTTATGGAAGCAGAGAGCCTCATCTTTCTCCCGCGGAACAGCTGTAAGTTTCGAACTGCTGACCTCGAGGTTCTCAGCCTGTGGATTACTGGTGGTCCTTAAAAGTGTTCCAGGTGGACAGCAGATTGATTACTCAGCGTGATTATTATTTTTCATGGGAATAATTATGTTATTTAATCAAAATCAGTCCTTTGGCATCACATGAAAAGCAACCCTTTCCTTATTAATTTTGATGAGGTTTTTGCAGTGTTAATCAAGAATATGTGGAGTAAATGACCCAAAGGACTCTATTAAAATGGTTGAGAAAGGAAAAGATGGCAATCACTGCTCTAGATCAGCAAAGAGACTCCCCTATGGAGTCAATTCTGTTTGTAACACTGTACTCGTGTAAAAGAGGGTGTAAAGCAAACATGGCAAACATATTACTGGTGTTACATCGGAGAAATGAGTGCAACAGTATGTGTTATGTTATTCTTTATGTTTCTGCATGCTTAATTTTAATCATGTGGCATGTGAAACACATATAGCATAGCAATATACAGAACTACAATACTGGATCTATGAATGATCCTGTCAAATTTTTACTTACCAGTGCATCATCTTGCAGTAAAGCAAAAAAGAAGCCATAGAGCAAGTTAACTTGGTCTTTTTCATTAATGAAGTCAAACATTGCAACTAGCCAACGCAAGAAAAGTACCTTGATGGTACCAGAACACTTGCCGACACAAAGCCAAGATACAGCCTTAACCACAGAATCTCCTGATATTACAGTTGCTGGAATCAAGCACTTAAATATCCGAGTGTTTACAGCATTCCCTGGAAAGTAGAGAAACTCTAAATCAAAATACATTTTAGTGTCTCAGTCATTCCCTGGACCTAAAAACCTGACTTTATATTGAAGGCAATAAAAAGAGGGCATAACATTCAACACATTTTATCATTATTACAACTTCTGACATAAACTACCAGAGTAAATTATTTGGCCCTAATAGTCCAATTTCAAAAGGGGAGAGGGATGCATAGAGTTTCTTTTTGAAGTAATGGTGATAAACATGTTCTACAATTAGATAGTAGCGATGGTTGTACAACTTTGTGAATCTAGTATTAAAAGCCAATGAACTGTACACGTTACAAAGGTGAATTTTACGATATGTGAACTAGAGCTCAAAAAAGAGCCTACCATATGAATTTTGTTTAAAAATATTTTGTTATTATTTTTTAATGTCACAATAGGCTGATTTATTTAAAGCTACTGATAGAGCTGATACACTGAAGAATATTATTTGTGAAGAATTTTTGTTGTTGTTAAGTGACATCAAGTCAATTCCAACCCTGTATAGGATTTCCAAGGGGCAGCTGGTGAGCTTGAACCACTGACCTTGCAGTTCAAACGACTTTACAGTCTGATGCATTAGCCCACAGCACCATACCAGGACTCCTTGTGAAGAATACATATCAGCAAAAGGAGTCCTGTTAGTGTAGTGGATTATGAGCTGGGCTGCTAACCGCAAGGTCAGTAGTTCGAATCTACCAGTCGCTCTGTGGGAGGAAAATGAGGCATTCTCCTTCTATAAAAGACTTACAGCTTTGGAAACCCTATACAGGGTAGCTATGCATCAGAACTGACTTGGTGGCACACAACCACAACCACCATCAGCAAAAGAGGGGAAGTGGGTATCAGAATGTAACAGATACCCTTGGAATCAGCAGCTTAGAATATTCTATACTATCATAATCTTTTCATCTTGCTCTCTGACCACCATGATAGTAAAAGTGATATTGCAGAGAATGGCTTTGTACACACTAATATCAACTTCGGAGTCCTGGTATGGCGCGGTAGCACTAGACCACAAGGTTGGTTTGACCCACAAGGTTGGTGGTTTAAACTCACCAACTACTCCTTGGAAATCTTATACAGGGTTGCTATTAGTGGGAATTGACTCGACAGCACTTAACAACAACAACAGCAACATCAACTTCTGTGTATTAGGACTTCAAGAAGTAAAATACATGTCATCAGTTTCTACCCCGTAGCTCTGTAGAGAAAAAAAGGAACAGTGATGACTAGTTTAAAAAACAGAATTACAAGAATAAAAATCTGCTTTTCACTCTTGTGTATGTGTTTTTTTTTCCTCCTCTACTCCCATAACCTAGCTTTTCTAAACTTTAAAATAGTCTCACAGTTAACACTTTACATATGCACCAAATTCAAAGTGGGAAATTTCACACTGACTCTATTATTATTTCCAAATGGCCCTTTAATGAGTTTCTAAATATTCTAAAGTCCCTTTGCACCTAATCACAATTATATATATATAATCATATGTAATACCTAGCATGTTGTTATTTATTGCCATCAAGCTGATTCCAACTCATAGAGACTCTGTATAGGGTTTCTGAGAGGCAGCCTAGCATACCTGCTTCTAAGTAGGCATTTAATCTTAACAAAACAGCTACAAATAAAGACCTAGTATTGCTGTTGTTGTTAAGTGTCATTGAGTTGGTTCCTACTCATGTTGTTGTTGTTGTTAAGTGCCGTCGAGTCAGTTTCGACCCATAGCGACCCTGAACAGGGTTTCCGAGGCTGTAAATCTTTACGGGAGCAGATCGCCTCATCTTTCTCCCACGGAGCAGCTGGTAGTTTCGAACTGCTGACTTTGCGGTTCGCAGCCCGATTCATAACCACTATGCTAGCAGTCCGGTGCTGATCCTACAGCGCCACCCCAGGGACATAAAAATAACAAAAAGGGAGAAAACCAATTAAGGGGACCATATTTTACTTGAGCAAATTCCATCTTGAACATAAAAGGAAAGTTAAGACTAGAAAGCCAGAGATTATTTTCTTAATTGTTATATACAAGTTTCCAGTGCATGATATATGCATTTTGAAACACCTCATCCTGGTGTGACGCTGTTGGTTAATGTGTCAGACTGCAAAGCTGTTTGCAGGTCAGTGGTTCAAGCTCACTAGCTGCTCCTTGGAAACCCTATGCAGGGTCGCTATGGGTCGGAATCAACTCGACAGCACTTAACAACAACATGACCTGGCAGGCATGCATACCTCTAGTCATTAATATCTGAACTATGAAAAAGAAAAGAGAAATTCCAAAATAGAAAACAACTATATAGTCTATACATTTTTAAAAGATAGTGTTGTTGTGTGCTGTTGAGTCGGTTCCAACTCATAGCAATCCTATGTAGGGTCTCTGAGGAGTGGCTGGTGGGTTTGAACTGCACACCTTGTGGTTAGCAATCCAGTGCTTATTCCACAGCGCCATAACAATATGGAGTGATAAAAAGAGCCCTGGTGGGACCTTTAAGGATATTAAGGGTAGCTGTTGTTGTTAAATGCTGTTGAGTTGGTTCCAACTCAGCAACACTAGATAGGGTTTCCAAGGAGCAGCTGGTGGGTTAGCAGTCCAGTGCTTATTCTACAATACCATAACAATATGGAATTATAAAAAGAGCCCTGGTGGGACTATTAAGATAAGCACTGGACTGCTAATGACAAGGTAGGCAGTTCAAACCCAACAGCCACTCTGAAGAGAAGGATGACTCTGTATTCTCCCGTAAAAATTTTACAGTTGCAGAAAACCCTACACAGATTCATAATAATTGGAATGGGTCTTTTCAGGGAATGACAGAACTGATCTTGATAGACAATAGTCAAACATGAATTCCTGGAAGGATCTTAGAACAACCGATCAGAAACAATCTACAGAGCAAAAGCCAAATTTATTAGGTCAAACTGAACTTTCTAAGAAAGCCAAAGAATTACCCAGGGAAAAGTAGGGATAAAATATCTCAGAGTTGAACTAAGTTAGTATTTCTGTATTGTTGCTTTAAATCCCACATGCACACAAACATAATAGAGTATACACAAAGGAACCTAGGCTGCAAGAACCAGGAAATACTTAGTACACGGGGGCTGCAAAAAGTTCATAGAATAAAAAACCTAGAAAAAGAACCCATACTAAAAGCGGGGCAAGGGATTCTTTGCTGGTTAATGGTATGTAGGGGGTGAGGTAAGGGAAGGGAGAGAAAGGTAGAACACAGGGTAGGGAATAGACACAGGATAGTTTGAGTGCTGGGGAGGGAGCAATACACAAGAAGGGGGAGGGGAATGGAAGAACAAGGCGGATGGGAGAACAATTAGGCAGGTTTGCATGGGCTAACTGGAACAGAGGTAAATATCAATGTATGCACAACCTTGGAACAACAGGGCTCTGGGATACAGGGATTGAGGCATGATTTGAATGGATAAAAGGGGGTAAATAATATCTTAATAAAATAGACACTTGAGGGGGAGAGAAAGGAATAGCCAGAAATATCACCATGGAAAGCTTGTAAGTCCGTCTTCTGCATATATCTGATTGGAATACCTAAAATGGGAATACAACGTGCCCAGTGAAGGAGGCTTCTTGTGGAGCCGCTGCATTGCATAAGACCATAGGTGGAATCCTGAACCCCATCCAGAATCTTCTGAGGTGGTAAAATTCCACTTGAAAGGACACGCAGACCAGCCTAGAGCGGCTAGAAAAAGAGAAGACACTTCTTGAAAGAAAGACCAACAGGAAAAATAAAAAACAATAATGGCAGTCCAACTGACTACTACAAGAACAAGCAAGTTGCTCGCCCAGGAGACATCAAGCCAAGTGGTCAGGTCCTATCAGGGCAAACCCCCTTCCAAGACTAAGACTCAAGGGGAATACACAAGCAGACATGTGCTCTGACTGGTGACCATGTTGGTCACCGATCAGGGTAAGTGAGGGCAAAACAACAATGAAGAGCTAAGTCCTACCATGTTCAATAGACTCCTATGAACCCAGGTTGAGACCTGGTTGGCCAGCAGTATGGCAAGACCTGGGGACTCGGGCGCCCAGAGTCAGGGACATAGCCACAGAGGACTAGAGTGGAGTGTGAACGTCTAGCTGATAAGAAGTGAGGGCATATGCACAAGAATACCCACACTTGTGGATAATACCCACTTGACCTGGCTTCAATAGCTGCATGATCAAAACTCAACTAGAAGAAGAAAGAAGAGGGAAAAAAAGAGTAATATGATACAATTTGATGAACTTGAACTACACGTATGGATGTAGTAGCTCAAAAGAGGGACCATATCTTTACAGCGAGGATCATTCCCACCCCCTTGATACACAGGGTATATAGGGATGGACAACTTGGACACTGGCTACCTAAAATAGGGGGCTACAAAGGCAAGAAGTGACTGGTTTACAAGCTTTCAAAAGGGAGCCTAGATCCAGAGGGCTCTGAGGAAGGTAGACTCTCCACTTAGTAGTATCCAATCTGTCTCGGCAGGGCTGATGAAAGGAGATGGGGATAGCACTCATGTGGTATAATAGTGAATAATTGCTATCAGGACTGACTGTGAGGGTTGGAAATGTAAAGGTAGACATTTATAGCAAAAGGAGGAGAGTGGTTGACTTTGCAGTCCCGGTGTGGAGGTCCCTGGGACTATCAAGGTAGAAGAGCAGAGAGCGGGATCCTACCCAGAGAAGCAGTGACGCCAGAGATAGAGGCAGAGACGATGACGTGGAGAGATGGAGCAGCTGGGAACTCTAGACCCAGAGAGGGAGAGGGGCTGTGTGCTGACGACCAAGGGGCAGGCTTGTAGGGTATACCCTTTGGTTGATTGATGATGCAAGGAGGAGATTGTAACCATAGCAATGAAATGATATATGATAGGATGAATGTAAAGCTAATGTTCTCCCATGTAAACTATCACATAATTCACAATATTTTTTTTTAATGTAGATGTGAGCGGAGGAAGCAAGTTTACAGAAGAAAAAAAAAAAAAAGTTAATGGAAGAGTTTCAGGGCAAGATGATGGAATAGCAGATGCCGAGCAGATCCTCTGCAACAAAGACATGGGATAACAAGTGTAATAGATACAGATGGTGATCCTGGAACCCCAAGCTTCAGAGGATAAGACAGAGAGGTGGATTGAGTGCCATCTGGAAGAGGAAGGTGAACAGGTGCAGCAAGAGAGAAGAAATTCAGGCAGGCTGTCAGCTGGTGTTGAGCGACATGACCAGTTGGGCTCTTACAAGTAGCTGCCAATATAGCAGCCTGCAAGCACAGGACATGTCTGAATATTGGCAGCAAGAGAGTGCTACCCTGTTCCTGTGCCCTCCTGGTAGTCAAGGGGGTGGCCAGTCTTGCCATCGCCAATTCAGTGGCCAGTGGCACCCCTTCCTGCATAGCCTCAGCTCTGCCTGAACGTGGCATCCCTGCTTCTGGAAGTGTGTGAACCTACTGTGAACTAGCTACACAAGCAGCACACAGAGAACTGCATTCAGACTTCTAGTCTCTATCACATCCACCAAGAGACAGGTGGTGAATGCCAGAGTCTCAGAGAAAACAGACAATTTCAGCTTACACAAATAAATAAGACAGAGTGTCTCAAATAAGTTACCAAAATACAGTTGAAAAATGTAACACCAGAAATGGTATCAGAACCACTTGATAAGGAATTTTAAAGAATGGTATTTAGATACCTTCAATGTATTGAGAGAAAGATCAATGAAAGCCAGGAGAAAACACACACACACACACACACAAACTTTAGACTAATTCTAGAAAGCACTATAAGAACAAACTGGCAAAATAAATGAAAAATTGGAAACCACACCAAAGTAGCAATTAAAAAGCCAGAAGATTAATCTTACGACTTCAGAAATAGATAATACATTGAAAGGTCAAAGAAGTAGCATTTTATCAATGAAAGGCTGAATCAGCGAGTTTGAAGACAACTCTCTTAATACTCATTTTCTAAAAGAACAATCAGAAAAAAATTTTAAAATCTGAAGAAAGTCTAAGATTTACATGGCATACTATCAAGAAGAATAACTTATGTGTAACTGGAATTACAGAACAAGAAGAGATAAAAAAACAAAACAGAACATAAAGAAAATTGTCCAAGAGTAGTTAGAAGAAAACTTTCCTAACATTATGCAAGACGTAAAGATAGCCATTTAAGAAGTTAAATGAACTCCAAATAGAATAAAACTCCAAGAGAAAACCACCAAGACATATTATAATCAAACTTTTCAAAACCAAAGACAAGGAAAAAATCCTGAGAACATCTCGGGAAAAACTAAAAAATTTCCTACAAAGTAGAACTAATACGACTAAGTTCTGATTTCTCAGCAGAAAACATGCAGGCAAGAAGACAATGGGGTGACATATATAAAACTCTTTAAAAAATGGCCAACCAAGAATCAAATATGATGACAAAATTAGGACATTTCCACATCAACCTTATAAAAAATACCAAAGTGAGTTCTTTGGACAGAGAACCAGCAACAGCAAACAACAACCTGGTTTGTACCAGGATCATATTCTTTCACACCATACTTATTCAACCTGTATGCTCGCAACTAATCTGAGAAGATGGATTATATGAAGAAAAATGTGACACTGGGATTGGAGGAAGGATCATAACAACCTGTAATATACAGATGATACGACCTTGCTTGCTGAAAGTGAAGAGGACTTAAAATACGACTGATAAAGAAGATCAAAGACCAGTCTTGTGTATGGGTTGTACCTCAGTGTAAACAAAACAAAAATCCTCATCATTGGACCAATAAATAACATCACAACAAATGGAGATAAGACTGAAGTTGTCAAAGACTTTGTTTTGCTTGAATCAACCATCAACACTCATGGAAGCAGCACTCAAATAATCAAACAATGTATTGTATTATCTGCCTAATGCAATACGTGTTGAAGAGCAAAGATGTCAGTATGAGGTGCGCCTGACTCAAGTCATGCTATTTTCAATAACATCATGAACGCATATGAAAGTTGAATAGTGAATAAGGAAGACCATCAAAGAATTGATGCATCTGAGCTATGGTGTTGAAGAATATTAAAAGTACCATTAACTAACCAATCTGTGTTGGAAGAAATACAGCCAGAATGCTCCCTAGAATCTATGATGGCCAGAGTTTATCTCTCATACTTCAGACATATTGTCAGGAGGGATCAGTCCCTGGAGACTGATATCATGTTTGGTAAAGTGGAGGGTCGGGGAAAAAGAAGAAGACCCCTAATAAGATGGATTGGCACAGTGGCAGCCAATCCAATGGGCTGGGCAGTTAGTCCAGGACTGGGCAGTGTTTCATTCTGTTGTGCATAGAGTTGCTAGGAGTTGGTACTGACTCAATGGCACCTAATAACAACAACGTGAGTCAGAATCAACTCAAAGGCACTTGAACAACAACAACAAGTATATATAAGGGAGTCCTGGTGTGGCACTGTGGATTAATGCGCTGGACTGCAAGGTCAGCGGTTCAAGCTCACCAGCCACTCCTTGGAAATCCTACACAGGGTCGTTATGAGTCAGAACCGACTCCACAGCACGTAACAACAACAGTATATAAAGCAGCCACTTTGCAGAGCTGCCTTGATTTTTTTAAAATGTAGAAACCCTGGTAGCAGTGCAATGCAGTATAAATACAAGAATGGGGATTAGATGTGAATTCTACTCTCAAACCCTCTCATATTAAGCAAGTCTCTTTACCACTCAATTTCCTCAACTTTTAAACTGAGGATGTTTAGGTTCTCAACTACTTTCTAAATTTTAATTTAGATGAGAGATGGTTAAAAGTTTCTTTTCAGGTAAAAAGAAGGCTGATGAGGTGTTATTCGTTTCTTTCTCATCATTCCTCCCAACATTGCCGCCTCCTTATGCACTTGAACAGGAATGGAAGCATTTTGTCAGAAGAAAAAGCATCTTGACTGACAAGGGTCTGCCCATTTTATTTATAAAGAACTGTGATAACTGGCCATTTCCAAAATACACACACAAAAACTTCAGCTCTTAAGGCAGTTTGAACACCATCTTGTAATTTTATCAGATTGATTTTAGGAAGAGAATAGTAAAAACACAGAACTGTAACTGATTTCAAATAAATAAACTAATCGCAAATTAATGACAAATGTATCCCCTCTACATACCAAATTTGCCACTGAGTGCCACATTTAATAGAACATCAATTTCTTCTGGAGCTAAGCCATCTATCCAAGCCACTTTTTCCATGATTTTCAAGTGTTTTTCCATGCTTTTATTTTTAATCCGTGAAGTTCTAATGGGACCTGAAAAAAGGAGCAACAGTAAATAGTGGGACCTTAAAATTCTTTTCAGTCCTCAACAGTTAAAATTTGGGATTCTTTAAAGAACAGCTTTATATAAAATATGTCTTCCTAAAAACCCTTCAAAACTTTAAAAATTGTAGATTGTTTAACTGCAATAGCACCTTTAGTGAAGAAAGCTGAGTCATACCCTGGCATAAAAGCTTTAAAAAATCATGGGACAACTAGGTTAATGGGCTTAATTTAGTTCATAAAGATAACACTCTACATCCTAACTTTGGTGAGTAGCATCTAGGGTCTTAAAAGCTTGCAAGCGGCCATCTAAGATACAATTATTGGTCCCTTCCTGGCTGGAGTAAAGGAAGGTAAAGGAAAGCAGACTCAGGGAAGAAATTAGTTCACCCTTACAAACCACAGCCTCTTCCACCCCCACACCAGAAGAACTAGATGGCGCCTGGCTACTACTACTGACTGTTCTGACCAGAACACAAAAGAAGGTTCCAGTTAGAATGGGAGAAAAATATAGAACATACTCAAATTCAAAAAGACCAGATTTACTGAACTGATAAAAACTAGAGGAACCTCTAAAACCATTGCCCTAAGACAGGGATAGGGGATGTCCAACCCAAGTAAGGCCCTCAAAATCATTTGGTCTGGCCCTGCCAAAGCAACCACAGTTCCAGCCATCACATTGATGGTAGTGGTGTGCCATGGAGTCGATTCTGACTCATAGTGACCCTGTATAGGGTTTCTGAGGCTATAAATCTTTACGGGAGCAGAAAGCCTCATCTTTCTCCCCCGAAACTGCTGGTAGTTTTGAACTAGATGACCTTGAGGTTAGCAGCCCAACTCGTAACCACTACACTACCAGAGCTCCTTAGTCATCACATTGTTCTTGTTAAGTACCGTGGAGTCAGTTCCGACTCATAGCGACCCTGTAGAGGCTGCAAATCTTTACGGGAACAGAAAGCCTCATCTTTTTCCGGTGGAACAGCTGGTAGTTTCGAACTGCCGACCTTGAGGTTAGCAGCCTGATTCATAATTACTATGCTACCAGAGCTCCTTTAGCCATCACATTAGGAGTGAGTTAATTAAATGTTTGACCAAATCTAGCAGGCTAACTTTTAAGTTGATAATTCTGTATAGCCCATGAATGATGTTATAAATTTTGGCAGAAAAAATTTCCCCACCCCTAACCTAAGATAAAGGAGCTCTGGTAGCGTAGTGTTTACGAATCGGGCTGCTAATCTTATGGTCAGCAGTTTGAAACTACCAGCTGTTCTGCGGGAGAAAGACAAGGCTTTCTGCTCCCATAAAGATTTACAGCCTTGGAAACCCTATACAGGGTCACTATGGGTCGGAACCGACTCGATGGCACTTAACAACAACAACAACCCTAAGATATCCATTGAGTCTAGAAAATAAGCCACTCCCAGAGGTCACTTTTCCGCCAAATAATAGATTGGCCTATACAATAAACGCCTGTGAGGACTGTCCTTTAAACAACCAATTATAGGAGACCTAACAGTTAACATTTACACAAAAGAAGGCAAGGAAAACTGGATGAATGGACACAGGCAGACAAGTGGAAATGGGGAGAGTGCAGACACATTATGGGGATTGTAACCAATGTCACAGAACATTTTGTGTATCAACTGCTGGTTAGGCATCTAACTTGAAGTGTAAACTTTCACCTAAAACACAGTAAAATACATTTTTTTAAAAAAAGCTTTAAACTACGAAATAAAATCACTGACTTAAGACTATAAGCTGTTTAAAATACCAAACAAGAGGGAAGGAATCTTCACAGCAAGGATCATTCCCATCCCCTCTGTACACAGGATTGATAGGGATGGGCAACTTAGACATTGGCTACCTAAAATGGGGGTGGGGGCAGGGGGCTATACAGGCACGAAGTGACTGGCTTACAAGTTTTCAAGAGGGAGTTTAGTTTCAGAGGGTGCGGGGGAAGATAGAATATCCACTGAGTGGTTTCCAACCTGTCTAGACGGGGATGGTGAAAGGAGATGCGGACAGACCCTTATGGTTCAATAGTGAGTAACTGTTATCATGACTGATTGCAATTGTTGCAACTGTAAAGGTAGGTGTTTTGTAGTAAAAAGAGGGGAGTGGTTGATTTTGCAGTCCAGGAGTGGAGGACCCTGCAACCATAAAGGGAGAAGAGCAAGAGCGGAGTGCAGGACCCTATCCAGAGAAGTAGCGATGCCAGAGATGGAGGCAGAGATGATGACATGGAGAGATGGAGAGGCTGGGGACTCTAGACTCAAGGAGGGAGAGGGGCTGTGTGCTGGAGTCTGGGGGGCAGGTTTGCTGGGTATGCCCTTTGGTTGTTTGAATGGCTGTATATTCCTGAGTGCCTCGGTGTACATCCCAAAACAACAACAACAACAAAACAAACCAGAGGGAATGGGGGAATGGAAGCAAATGCTATTGAATGATAATGCATAATGCATGGAGGGGATTGTAATTACTGCAATGAAACAAAATACAATAGGATGAGTGTAAAGCTGATGTTCTCCCATGTAAACTATCACTCAATTCACAGTAAAAACTTAAAAACAAAAAACAAAAAACTATAAGCGGTTTCAATACTAAGACAGTGGTTTCCAAACTTTGCTGTACATCAGAATCATGTAGGTAACATTTTTTAAAAATTCCAATGCCTAGGTTGCATCCCATACCAATAAAATCAGAATGTGGACATAAGGCATCAAAAACCTAAACCAAATCTACTGCAATCAAGTTGATTCTGACTCATAGCAAGTGTATACAGAATTTCCAAGACTGTAAATCTTTACAGGAACAGACAGCTTCATTTTTCTCCTGTAAAGCAGCTGTTGGGTTTGAATCACCAGCCTTGGGGATGGTTAGCAGCCCAGTGCCTAACCCACAGAGCCACCAGAGCCCCTAATACCAGGCATCAGTATTTAAAAACAAATTTTGGGGTCATTCCAACAGGCAGAAAAGTCTAAGATCCACTGTGCTAGGAACATACTATATTGTTGTGTCTCTCTCCATTATGTAGTATACTGATATGTTGTAAGTGCTCAATAAATCCTATTAAGAAAACTAAAGCATGAATGAACACAAATATGCTTTCTTGTTAAAAATCTGTTTAAAAAACCCTCAAATTGAATATTTTTAATAGAAGTAAGACTTTCATAAGGGAAAAATAACCAGTTACCTTTCTCAAAGAATTTCAATGCTTCTTGCAGAGCGTCTTTTGCATGTTCATAAGCTTCTGGATTGCTCCGTCCATGTTTGGAGATCCTCCCTGAGTAGCTTGGCTTCTCTTTTATTTGGTATGTCACATTACCACAAGAAGTCCTCTTACGTGCCCGTGAGTTCTTAACACCTTTTTGTGTAGACATTACTGCATTTGTTCTATAGATAAACAAGTGTTAAACTATCATTAATCAGTCAAACATTTCCTTTTTTCCTTCCACCAAGACAGGAGCCATATCTGCCTATATTTCCAGCATTTAGTACAGTACCTATCATACAACAAGGACAAAATAAATTGACAACAATCCATGCAACAAAATCTACAGGTTAACTTCTCAGAAAGTCCTGGAACTAAACAGAAATAGAGAAGAAACACTCTAAGGTAACAATCATCAACTGAATTGGCCTCCTTGTTGTTGTGATGTTGTGGAGGGGAGAGGGATCAGGACCAAAACAGTAAGAGTACAGGAAACATAGCAAGCTTCATTCTTAAAATGGCTTTAACATTTTAAAACAAATTTAAATTTCAAAACACTCCAGCTAATGAACTTAGTCTTACTTTCTCAACTCCTCCTCAATTTTGCTTTTAATCTTTGTTTCTCACTTTATCAGTGCTAAGTTAAAACTGCATAGTTTAAAAGCCAAATAGGGGGGAAAAAAAGCCAACTAGGAGCCCAAGTTAAAGGTTTTCAGGTCAGAGAATGTTATTTACTTAATATTTATTCACTTGTTAAATAATTATTGAATATCAACTATATGCCAAGCACACTTCTAGGTACCAGGGATGTAATATTAAAAACACTCACAGTCCCTACTCCCATGACAACACAAAAATAAAGAAGTTAATAATGAATAGGAAAAAAAAAGTTACATCATAGAAAGGGCAGGGGAAGGGACTACTTTGGAATATATGGTCAGAGAAAGCCTGAGGTAACATTTAAGCTGAGATTTGAATGCCAACAAGGAAGGAACCATGCAAAAATCTGGTGGAATAGTAGTCATGGAGCAGAAAGAGTTTAATGTGCAAAAACTTTAAAACAAGGATAAGCTTTGCATGTTAAGCAGCTGCAATACAAGTGTGTGAAGACTGGTGTGCAAAAAAGGTAAAGGGTCGTGGGAAATAAATCAGAAAGGTTGTTGTTGTTAAATGCTGTCAAACTCATAACAACCCTATCTATACAGGATTTCCGAGGAGCAGCTAGTGGGTTTGAATCGGCAGCCTTGCAGTTCAAACCAACCTTGTGATCTATGGGTCGAAATCATACTGGGGCTTGCAAGGCAGATTAAGGCATTTGGATTTTAAGTGACATGGGAAGGGGGTAAGGGGAAGTTAAGAAGGGGAGAGATACCATCTTATTTAGCTGTTGTGTAAATAACAGAATGTTGGAGTCAAGGAGTGGGAATTAAAAGGGTTCCTGCAGAAATTCAGAAGAGATGATGGCAGTGTGAAGTAGACATTAGGTGTAACGGTGGAAGAGGTGGAAAATGTATTTGTGATGTATTCTGGAAGGAGATTGGGCAGGACGTGTTTAAAAAACCAGATGTAGGTAAAAAGAAAGAGAAATTAACATTGACTTCTACATGTTTGCGTTCAATTGAAAGCATGGTCTGAATTGGATTGAGCCAATTTCACCTTGTGGCTCTTCAGAATAATGCGCTGGACCACAAGGCCGGTTTGAATCGCAAGGCCGGCGGTTCAAACTCACCAGTCGCTTCTTGGAAATTCGATACAGGGTCGGTATGAGTCGGAACCGACTCGAAGGCACTTAACAACAACAATTCCACTTAGATGAGAACAGAGCAAAGGAGCAATATGTCCGTCTACCCAACCCAGCGCGAAGATCCAGGTTCCACGCTGTTTCCTAGGGACCTATAGCAAGATGGGATGATGGTAAGCAGTTTTAGACCCCATTCCTCAGAACCATCCCGTCGCTTCCCCAATATTCCTTTCACAGCCAGTCTCAGTGAATAGGGTGGGGGTGGGGTGGGGGCGAACATGACCACAAGCAGGGACCCACAAAACAGATTCCTGGGCTGCAGGAGAAACCAAACCCAACGACACCCGCAAATATTAGGAGATCCCCTTTGCTCTCGGAGTTCCCATTTCACGCAGTTTCAAAGTACCTTACCCAGCACTCTTAGGTTCCAAAGCGTCCAGTGCACTAAGGCCGCCTCACCGATTCAAATATGCCTGCTCCGCCCCGCGCATGCGCCTCTCGGGAGATCCAGGGGGCGGCAAAACAGAGCAGAGCGCTCTACTAAAGCCTAATTGGTTGGGTCACCCAGCTCAACGGCGCAAGGCGGTGCGAGGCGGCGCTTGCGTCAACGCTGACGTACATGCAATTACGGAGTGCGACTGACCCCATGAGCCGCAGTCAGGAGGCTTGTGGTGTGTGGGCGTAGCTATTGGAGTCAGCTGATTGGCTGGCATTTCCACTGCTCTAATAATGCTCACTTTTGTCGTTTTGCGTAAAAGCAGGGCGATTAGTATCTTGATTCTTAAAATTAACTGGTATATTAGAGTAAATCATTTTGCCCAAATGTCAGGATTTTGAAGCTGTAGGAAAATAAGCAAAATTCACAATAAAGTCAGCTTCTCTGGTGCTGGAGTCCTGGTGGGGCGCTGTAGATCGCACTTGATGTGGTTCAAAACCCATCAACTGCTCATCGGGAACCCTATACAGGGTCGCTATGAGTCGAAACCGATTTAACAGCATGCTAAGAACCGTGGTTAAAGTGCTGGACGCCAAGGAATACGGCAATCTTTTTTTTTTTTTTTTTTGGTAAAGATTTACAGTCTTGGAAACTATGAGGCAGTTCTACTCTGTCCTATAGTCTAGTGAGTTAAGGATGGTCAGTGGTTCGAATTCACCAACCTTTCTCGTGAGAAAGATAAAACTGTCTGCTTCTTGAACGTTGTTGTTAAGTGTTGTCACGTAGGTTCAAGCTCAGAGCGACCCTGGCAGGTATGGGGAAGTTCTGGCCTGCCGGCCATAAAAAACCCATGAACTTATTTGGTCTGGCCCTGCCAAGGCAATAGCAGTTCCAGCCATCATGTTGTTGTTGCTGCTGTTAAATGCTGTTGAATTGGTTCCGAGTCATAGCGACCCTGAATAGTTTCCGAGGAGCAGCTGGTGGGTTTGAACTGCCAACATTGTGGTTTGCAGTCCAGTGATGATCCTACAGCGCCACACCAGGAGTCCGCTGTATATATACTGTTGTTGTTGAGTGCTGTTGAGTCGGTTCCGACTCATAGTAATCCTGTAGGACAGAGTAGAAGTGCCCCATAGGATTTCCACATCTTTCTGCCAAAGAGCGGTTGGTAGGTTTGAATCACAGCAGGTCACTTTAACCACTGCACCACCAGGTCTTCCTGCAAATGGGTAAAGGACCCAGTTTTCAGCACTTTTTAATGTTAAGTCAGTTACCATTAAGTATTTGGAAACTCGAATTCATTAAGAAAAAAGTACTTAGTCTTCGGTGAAATCTCCAATCCTTTGAGAGTTCTTCATTTCCTACACACGATGGAGAGTGGTGTTTTTCCACTTCATAAATCTACTTGTTTTTAGAAATGAAATTTTCTCCTTACATGCGTATAGAAAAACTGCTCAGAATGAACACTGTGATTCGATTTCGTTGAGTACTGATTATTTTTCACAGGACAGATGAAGAACCAAAGATTAAATTGATGTATTTCAAAAAATCTGCAGTAGAAATGGCTGTTTACTGCATCTTACATTTATATGGTTTTCAGTGCTTTCATATACTAATTTACTCATGCATGAAAATTGAAATGGTGTTGACCCTTCAGTTATTTTCAATAGTAGCTGTTCTTCGTTATCTAGTAAAAGGAACTTCATCTTGAGTTGTTTTTCACACCTTTAATAATTCATAGACTCAACAAAATGTAAATTGGAAGGCACTTTAAGGTTTCAGTCATCTCCTTTTTTGTGTAGATGATCAAACTGGGACCCTGAGTGGTGAAATAAGGTGGCAACTTTTTGGCAGTGCAAGTGTAACTTTGCTTATTTGAGGATGCACAAGTAGCGAGATAATGACTTACTTTAATGTACTAGCATTTTTTTTTTTTCTGAAATCATTTCTCTACCTTCCCTTGGCATCATCTAATGAAACAGTACTCCTCAAACATAGAAACTGTATAGGAATCCCCAATCTATGGCTTTTCTTATGTACTGACATCACAGAAGTGTGTGACATTTAAATAAAATGGGAAAGTTGATAACCTCATTCCTAGGTGAGTTTTCTCCCCTTTTGTGTTTCTCCCTCACCCAGACTTAAATAAAGAGGGAGAGAGCCTGCCTGAATCCTTTGATATGACCCTTTCTTTCCAGAATTTTGGTGTTTGTCCAGACAGTTTGCTCCAAATTTCAAAAATTTTTATTTTGAAAGAATGAGAGAAATAAGACAGAGAGGTATCAATTACCAAGAACAATGACATTGAAGAAAATACAAGAATTCATATTCTCCACACACACAACCACCCACCCCTTCCCCCATCCCTGACACAATTATATTAAACCCATCAAAGCACATCATCTAACAAGGAGAAACAACAGTATATAATGAAGAAAGCAAATATTCATACTGCTCAATCCAACTAACCCTTATCAAATGTCCTTCCCCCAGCAAAACTCCACTCAGAATAATAAAGAGGTGAAAAGGAGACAACCTTGGAGGTGATTTGCAATTCTGCTTACACTCAGGAAGATTCAGTGAAGAATCAATAGGAGTAGTGACTCTGGTAAGGGAAACACTGGATACAACACCTATATCAAATTTCAGATGATTTACAAGAACAGCTAGGGTTTGAGATTCACAGACTTCCAGGAGGACTAATCCCTGCTCCCTCAAACACAACAGTGGAGCAGCTGTTAAATCCTGGTTAGTTACTGAGAACAGTGGAAGTGAGATAGCTTTTGGCTTGGGAAAATCCAAAAAAAAAAGGTGCATGGTAACAAACGTACTGCTTAGGTTTCTACTTGTAAGCAAAGGGGTTTGGGCTGAAGATTTGTATGTATCCCTTGTCTTAATTAAACTCAATATATAATATTTGAAATTTAAATAACTTGACATAGTGCCTAATTAATTTTCATATAACTCGGTGTCTCAAATTGAAGGAACATTT